ATATATATATCGCTAGCTGCGTGATGCAACCGCCTAAGTGCCAAGAGACAAATTTTTCAGGAGAAGCAAAACACTGTTTTATTTCTTTATGCTCGTACCTATGAATCTGAAATTCAGATACATGATATAATATGACTTAGGACGATGGTCTGTAACTAACTTTATTTTAAAAAAGCTTTCTTACATAAGTTACTGGACATAGGCGGTGTACCTACCAAAATTTGTGTGATTCAACCGCCTAAGTGACAGTATGACTGCTTCTAGGCGTTTGAATCACGTTAATCTACGCCACTTGACGAGCGCCAATGGTCGCCTGGGCGTTTGAGTTATCGACAACAGCAAATCACAATAGTTTTAAGGGATAAAGTTAAGAGTCACGAAAAGTCGCAATAAAAATATTTTCCAATAGTTGTGCAGAATGTGAAATAAGCGCCCCATCAGCTGTCAATCAAAGACTTTAAAAAAGATACATTCGTCAGTAGCTTTCGCCACAATTTACCGACTTGGCCGATTCAGTATTAACATCATTTGATGCCATTTTTCCTTTTATGAACTACACTACCAAACCTAGTGATAGATTACGCAAACTGCCTACACAAAATCGTCTGGCTATCGATAGGGTTCGATCTGAGTCGAAGTTAGCACAAATTGTTTTGATGTTACCCTCAGTCTGTTTTGACAAAGGCCACAGTCGTGTGGGTCACGCCGCCTACGTGACAGGTGAACTCTTCAATAAGCCACAGAATCTGTGTGAATCAACCGCCCATTTGCCACCGAGCTGCAAAACCGGCACTTGGGCGGTTGCATCACGTGGAAATTGAGGACTGTGTGATATGGGCGATTGGTTTACTGAAGGATTGAAACACTTTGCAGTAATCTTGCAAACTCGGTATTTCAACATAATGTGTATCATGGGCTGTACTACATAAAGGGATCAAAAAGTGATTTTCAAAACTTTTGTCACTTAGGCGGTTGAATCACACGGCTAGCGATATATATATATA